ATGGACAGTATCAAAAGGCTAAAAGATATGACGCCGGAAGATGAGCCCCTCAGGTCGGAAGGTGTCCAATATGCTACTGAGGAAGAGCAGAGGACAAGTACAAGTAACCCCAGAAAGAGTGAAGCGGCTGGGCCAAAGCCGAAAGGACGCTCAGTTGTGGATGTGTCTGATGGTGAAAGGAAAGTCCAATGCTGCAAAGAACAATACTACATAGGAACCTGGAATGTAAGATCTATGAATCAAGGTAAGCTTGACGTGGTCAAAAATGAGATGGCAAGACTGAACATCGATATCCTAGGAATCAGTGAACTAAAGTGGACAGGAATGGGCGAATTTAACTCAGAAGACCATTATATCTACTACTGTGGCCAGGAATCTCGTAGAAAAAATGGTGTGGCCTTTATAGTCAACAAGAGAGTGCAAAAGGCAGTACTGGGATACAATCTCAAAAATGACAGAATGATTTCTGTCCGATTCCAAGGCAAACCATTCAACATCACAGTAATCCAAGTCTATGCCCCAACCACTGATGCAGAAGAGGCTGAAGTGGACCGGTTCTATGAAGACCTACAACACCTCCTAGAACTAACACCAAAAAATGATGTCCTCATCATCATAGGGGACTGGAATGCTAAAGTAGGAAGTGAAAAGGTAACTGGAATAACAGACAAGTTTGGCCTTGGAAAGCAAAATGAAGCAGGGCAAAGGTTAACAGAGTTTTGTCAAGAGAACACACTGGTCATAGCGAACACCCTTTTCCAACAACCTAAGAGGCGACTCTACACATGGACATCACCAGATGGGCAACACCGAAATCAGATTGACTATATAATTTGCAGTCAAAGATGGAGAAGCTCTATCCAGTCAGTAAAAACAAGACCTGGAGCTGACTGTGGTTCAGATCATGAGCTACTCATTGCAAAATTCAGACTTAAACTGAAGAAAATCGGGAAAACCATGAGGCCATTCAGGTTTGACCTAGATCACATCCCTGATGAATATACAGTAGAGGTGAAGAATAGATTCAAGGGTCTGGATTTGATAGATAGAGTGCCTGAAGAACTATGGACGGAGGTTCGTGACATTGTACAGGAGGCAGCAATCACCACCATCCCAAAGAAAAAGAAATGCAAGAAAGCAAAGTGGCTTTCTGATGAGGCTTTACAAATAGCAGAGGAAAGAAGGAAAGCGAAAGGCAAAGGCGAAAAGGAAAGATTTACCCAACTGAACGCAGATTTCCAGAGAACAGCAAGGAGAGATAAGGAGGCCTTCCTGAATGAACAGTGCAAAGTAATAGAAGAAAACAATAGAATGGGAAGGACTAGAGATCTCTTCAAGAAAGTTGGAGAAATCAAGGGAGCGTTCCATGCAAAGCTGGCCATGATAAAGGACAAAAACGGTAGGGACCTAACAGAAGCAGAAGAGATTAGGAAAAGATGGCAAGAATACACAGAAGAACTATACAAGAAAGACCTCGATGTCCTTGACAACCACGACGGTATAATCACTGACCTCGAGCCAGACATCCTGGAATGTGAAGTTAAATGGGCCTTAGAAAGCATTGCTAACAACAAAGCTAGTGGAGGTGATGGTATTCCAGTTGAGCTATTCAAAGTCTTAGAAGATGATGCTGTTAAAGTGCTGCACTCCATTTGCCAGCAAATTTGGAAAACGCAACAGTGGCCACAGGATTGGAAAAGGTCAGTATACATTCCAATCCCAAAGAAGGGCAATGCCAAGGAATGTTCAAACTATCGCACAATTGCACTCATATCACACGCTAGCAAGGTCATGCTCAAGATCCTACAAGCTAGGCTTCAACAGTACGTGGATAGAGAACTGCCAGAAGTACAAGCTGGGTTTCGAAGAGGTAGAGGAACTAGAGATCAAATTGCCAACATTCGCTGGATTATGGAGAAAGCAAGAGAGTACCAGAAAAATATCTACTTCTGCTTCATTGACTATGCTAAAGCCTTTGACTGTGTGGATCACAACAAACTATGGCAGGGCCTTAAAGAGATGGGAGTACCAGACCACCTCACATGTCTCTTGAGAAACCTGTATAAGGGCCAAGAAGCGACAGTTAGAACCGGATATGGAACAACTGATTGGTTTAGCATAGGAAAAGGAGTACGACAAGGATGTATATTGTCGCCTTGCTTATTTAATATATATGCAGAGTACATCATGCGAAATGCTGGCCTGGATGAATCACAAGTGGGAATTAAGATTGCTGGGGAAAAGATCAACAACCTCAGATATGCAGACGATACCACTCTGATGGCAGAAAGTGAAGAGGACCTCAAGAGCCTCTTGCTCAGGGTAAAAGAGGAGAGCGCAAAAGTGGGCTTGAAGCTCAACATCAAAAAAACTAAGATCATGGCATCCGGCCCCATCACTCCTTGGCAAATAGAAGGGGAAGTCGTGGAAGTAGTGACAGACTTCACGTTCCTGGGATCCCAGATCACCGCAGACTATGACAGCAGCCATGAAATTAAAAGGCACCTCCTCCTTGGGAGAAAAGCGATGGCGAACCTAAACAGCATGATAAAAAGTAGAGACATCACCCTGCCAACAAAAGTCCGCATGGTCAAAGCAATGGTATTCCCAGTAGTCATGTATGGCTGCGAGAGTTGGACTATAAGGAAGGCCGAGCGCAGAAGAATAGATTCTTTTGAACTATGGTACTGGAGAAGAGTCTTGAGAGTCCCTTGGACTGCAAGAAGAACAAATCAGTCAATCCTAAAAGAAATCCACCCTGACTGTTCCCTGGAAGGCCAGATAATGAAACTGAAGCTCAAATACTTTGCCCACCAAATGAGAAGAGAGCACTCACTGGAAAAGACCCTGATGCTGGGAAAGACTGAAGGTCAAAGAAGACGGGGACGGCAAAGGATGAGATGGTTAGACAGTATCATAGATGCAACGAACATGAAATTGAGCAAACTTCAGAGGACGGTGGAAGACAGGAGGGCCTGGCGGGATCTGGTCCATGGGGTCGCGAAGAGTCGGACTCGACTGTGCGACTGAACAACAACAACAAAAAGGCACAAGAGTGGAATCTGAATCCTCCGAGGGAGACTCCTCATCCCTTCCACACACCTGAAATGGAGCTGGAAGACGCCAAAGAGGTACATGTGAGGAAAAGGAAGAGAGAGAACTCTATTACAAAAAAGCAAATACAAGAAATGCTAACTGATTTAAAAACAGAAATCAAAAGAAATAATAACACCTGTATTTAACAAAATAGATGATTTGACAAACAAAGTTAAATAAGTCGATGTCCCAAATTTTGTTGGGATGGAACAAAAAAAACCCCACCGCTCAGGAATTAAATGAACTAAAAACATTTGTAACATGGGCAAAATCAAATAATGTTATTAGAAATTAAAGTAAGAGAGCATAAATTAAAATTCAGAGGGGTCTCGCCCAATTTTGAAATGAACAAATAAATAACTGCAGCTTTAAATCAATGGCTATCAGAACTCCTCCACTTATCAGGAACAATTGTAGTAAATGCCTATAGGCTTAACATGACACATGCTACTTCAACGGTGTTAATCCCGGATGTAATCGCTGAAATCGTGGATATTAAAACTAAAAAAATCATTTTGGGCAAGGACAAATGCAGATTTGAAACTAATAGACACTACAGTCCCAAGTGTTTCCAGACTTGCCAGTTGAAATACTGAATGCCACACACAATCTACGTCTGATAGCACAATGAAATGAAACAGCAATATAGGTGGCTCCCACTTGGGCATTTATCAGTAACCTTTTGCGGAAAAATACTAATGGCATATAACATAAAGACTGGAGAAGAGCTCATAAAGGAAACAGAAGAGACACAACAGGAATGAAAAACTAAAGCAGGAAGAAACAAAAAGAGACACAACAAAGAACTTTGAAATAAGACTGGAGAAATTATCATAACTTTAATTATTTTGACAGACTTAAAGGTATATAATGAGTTTTGAGAATGGTGGTGATACTAGGTTTCCAGGGGAGAGTTCGCAGCACATCTGCAGGAGGAAGAACCGTGGGAGACGGCAGAGACTTGTTTGGTGAACATGAACTCCAAGGAGGGGAGTCCTCTTCTTGAGGACTTTTCCAAGAAATAATATATAGTGTAACTTGAGCACCAACTTACTTTGCTTGCAGTTTATATATACAAACTAGATGTAAGCTGAACAGATATAGAGCTGATAATAATAAGCAGAATAGAAAAAACTTAAGATAAGCCTCAATATGCTAGTTTAAGTTTAATGGTTTACAATACTTTAAACATCAGAAGATAACTGAAATGACAGTGTTTAATGCTATGGAGGGAGAAAAATCTCAAGAAGAATGGTAGATAAAAAATCTTTCCAAGCCTATAGTAAAAGAAATATCAATGTTCAGATTATTGTGACTCGCCAAAACAATGGGTTTGGACTGCCTGTAATAATAAAAGAAAAAGTGTTTAATGTAATGATTTCCTTCCAATTTATGAAACCTGTAATTGTTTCTTGTGCTTAGAAAACAACAATAATTTTAAAAAAAGTTTGGTGTAGTGGTTAAGTTCGTGGACTCTATTCTGGGAGAACTGGGTTTGATTCCCCACCCCTCCACTTGCACCTGGCTGGATGACCTGTTAGAGCGGTT